CGCGTGCGGGTTTCCGCCCGCCGCGTTTTCCGAGCGGCCGCGTGGGGCCGGTGTCTGCGCGCCGGGGCGGCGATCAGCCAGGGACCGGCTGGGGCTGGAGGCGGGAGGCCAGTTGGTAGCAAGGACCACGAGACTCTGCCTCCCCGGAGGCTGGCTGGTTTCGGTGTGGGTTACTTTCCTGAGTTGCCCGCCCTGGAAACTAGTTCGGGAGCAGAAAGTAACTCTGCGTGGCCAGCGCCGACCGATCGTCAGCTCCGGGCGAGCAGGACACGCCAGCGCCGAGACGGACGGGTCGGCTGCGAGGGATCATGTCCAGGGCGGCTTTTATAAGGCCGTGTTTCAGGCAGGAAGACTCCAAGGGAAGGGGTTCCCAAGCCCACGCTGCATGGGGGGAAAAAGTTTACTTTCTTCTAAAGACCCGTTCCATTCGCCCCGCTTTGCTGTCTGCCTGGACGCACAGAAAGAATGCAGCGGGTCTTTTTCCAGTCCCCTCGGGGAAACGGGATTGTCTAGGTCGGATTCCACGATGAAAGTGCGTGGCCGACCCAAGGAAACCTGCGCTTAAGGGACGTGGAAAAGTCAGACAGTTGGGTCAGTGCTCGATTTTCTTGTCGCTCTCCCACCGGGCCTGACCGGGTTCCAGCGCGGCCCGGTGACGTTGACACGGGCACACCCAGACGTGGCTCCCGCCGCCCATGAGCCGGTGCCCTCAGCTCCCAGGACGCTGAGGCGCAAGCGCTGGTCCCGGAATGGGCGTGCGCGGCGGCGGCACGTTGCGGCGTGGTAGACACGCTAGTGTGATTGGGCGGCCGAGGCCCACGCCAGCCAATCAGGAGGCACGCTGCTCCCGGCACCCTAAAAATTTGCCCTACCCTCCGCAGTCACCTCTGCGGGACCCGGGAAAAAGATTGAAGTGGCGCTGGCCTCCGCTGCGAAGTCGCGGGGTGAGGACTGTTAAGAACTTAAATCCCATCACCGCGGCGGTTTCCTTGGAAGCCATCATCATCATCAACAGATGTAGAGCGGACTGCCGATCTGGTCAGAGCCGCTCCTGGGACTGAGGAGGAAATCGACTTTTCAGAAGGAAAGGGGTAATTACCCCGGGTGGAGCTGAATCCTTAATAGACATTTTTCTCATTTTAACTGGGCTATGCCGTTCTGGCTTCCCAAAAGTCATAGTTCTAAAATCGCGATGCTTTCTTGAGCTTTAATGCTATTGTAATACGTTCCCAAACACTTTTAGGAACAGAAGTCACCCTATCCTATTCCCTACAATTTGCAGTAGTATATAGTGTATACACAAGGCCATATACTGTATATACTACAAAGTGTATTTCAATGTATAGGCACCAGTCGTCATATCTAGGAGTCAGGAAAAGTTTATAATTCTGAAGTAAATAGATGACTCAAAATTAAATTGCTAATTTTTATTGGTTGCTGAATCTTAATGTAACTTGTTAATTATGAAAATAATAGGTTGTTCTAATCATCAGAATTCTTCACTGGTTAAATGTGAAGCCTTTGCACTTTTGTTCACATGTGCAGTGGGTAATACAGTAAGAAGTTACCATTGTGTGATGCTTACAATTTAATTAAAAGCTGCACAAAACAATTAAAAAAAAAAAACCATGATTCCTAAACCTGCAGCTATGATCATACTTAATGGTGAAAAGCTGAATAGTTATTCTCTAATAATTAAGGTCAAGAAGAAGAGAAGGACGCCCACTCTCACCACTTGTGCTCTCAGAGTATTGGAAGTCCTGACCACAGCAATCAGACAAAACACAGGAATAGAAAGCATACAAATCAGGAAGGAAGAAGCAAAACTCTCACTCTTTGCAAAGGACATGATGTAATACATAGAAAAACGTGAGGATTCCAACAAAAAAAGCCCATTAGAACCAATCAATGAGTTCAGTAAAGTTGGAGGACAGAAAATCAGAAACCTGTTGCATTTCTGTACAGCAATAATGAATAGTCAGAAGGAGAAAATTTAAAAATCTCATTTACAAGTTTACCCACAAAGCATAAAATATCCAGGAATAAATTTAACCAAAGAAATGAAAGACTTATAGACTGAAAACTATAAGACAATGAAGAAAGAAATTGAAGAGGATACAAATAAATAGAATGATAGGATACACCATGCTCATGGGTTGGAAGGATTAACATTGTTAAAATGTCCTTACTGCCTAAAGCAATATCCACATTCAATGCAATCCCTATTAAAACACCAATGGCCTTCTTCTCAGAGATAGAAAAACTCATCCTAAACTTATATGGAACCACAAAGACCCCTAATATCCAAAAAATCTTGAGAAAGAACAAAGTTGGAGGCATCCTACTCCCTGATATCAAACTATACAAAAGTGTCTACACTAATAAAAACAGCATGGTACTGGCATATAAACAGACACCCAGTCAATGGGACAGGCAGAGAGCCCAGAAAAGAACCCTCACTTATATGGTCAATTAATCTATGACAAAGGAGGCAAGAATATGCCGTGGGGGAAAGATAGTCCTTTCAAAATGGTGCTGGAAAACTGGACAAATACATGAAAAAAAATGTAATTGGCTCATTTTCTTACACCAAATTAAGAATAAACACAATATGGATTAAAGATTAAATGTGAGACCCAAAACTATAAAACTAGAAGAAAACAGAGGAAGTGAACATCTGACATTCAACTTAGTAATATATGCTTTCAATGTGTGTCCTCAGGCAAGGGCAGGAAAATATACAATAAACAAATGGGACCATATGACACAAAAAGACAACCTACTGAAAGGAAGAATATATTAGTGAAGGATACATCCAATAAGGAGTTAATATCCAAAATTTATTTTAAAAAAAAAAACTCATACAATTTAACAGCAAAAAAAAACCCCAAAAAACAAAACAAAAAGCAGTAGAATTTAAAAGGGGCAGAGGACCTGAATAGACATTTACCTAAAGAGCAGGTACAGATGGCCAACAGACATATGGATTGGAAACCCTCTACTGTCAGACAATGTGATGTTTATCCATTCTTCAACTGTTGTATACGTATGCTGTCTCATATATTTTTACTAGTAGCCCAGTGCACAAAAATTTGTGCACTCGGGGGTGAGGGTGAGGAGTGGGGCCAGACCCCTCAGCCCAACCTGCACCCTCTGTCATGTTCCGGGACCCCAGCCACTCCTGGCCTAGGCACAGGCCTACAGGCTTGGGTGGTCTGGCTCCCAAGGCCTCATTTTATCAAGAGAACAAAGTAGGCGTTAGTTATAGCCCTCACAGAACCCAGTACACTGCATCTGTGCATACAACTGTCTGGTTCATGTGCCTGCTTCGCCCTACTGAATTACTAACATCTTGAGGACATACCTCCATCTTATCCTGCTTCAACTTCAGTGCCTGGCCTGGTACCAGGGACCTGAGAGGGTTTGCTGAGTGAGTGAGAGAGTGAATGAGTGAGTGAATGAGTGAATAAATGAGCAAACAGCTACCAGGCGGAAACTTCTGCCATGTTGCCATGACAACGCAGCAGAAGTTCCAGCCCCACTCCCCGCTGCCTGAAGCCCACCCCGGGAAAGTTTCCGCCCTGCTCCCAGTGGCCCTGAGCCCCTCTTCTGGCTGCATACTGAATTTCTAACATCTTGAGGATATAGCTCCGTCTTATCCTGCTTTAACTTCAGTGCCTGCCCTGGTGCCA